TGAAACCAGGAAAGGTGGACAAGGAAGCAGCGAAGGACGGTCCTTTTCTACGCCAAATGCTCAGAAACCCAATTGGCTGACCTAAGGTAGATTTAATTTGATTTCTATACCATTGATTTTGCAATAATATCTGGGTTAAACTCATTCTGTTGTGGCTACCAGACTGTGGTTAACAGTCAGAATCAGCTACTCCTAGAAAGGTGCCACATAAAAACCCCGTGTGGTCAATTTCGGCACAACACTGTTTTGAAACTGACAAGCGCCTTTCCACTTTGAAAGAGGATCTGCTCAAATGCCACCCACAAAACCAGTTTTGTTCCCTCACTTCATGTTTTCCTTTGGGAGGAAGGTGAAATGGTGGCTCGCTAAAAAGTGATTAAGAAAAATGGTTGCGGGAACGAAAAAGGACAAGATGTAGATGCCAAGAAGAAATGGAACACAAGCTACTGCGGAGCGCTCCCTTCCCGTAGATCCCGGGCAAAAATTGCTCCTCAGAAGGGAAAAGGTGGAATGAGACCAACCGCATCTTCCTTCCAAGTTGACGGGAGAGGTGGCTTGTAAAAGGCACTCGGCGCCTTGCAAAACGGGGACCGCCGAGACAAGCAGAGGAGGAGCTGAGACGAGCCCTCTCTTTAGGACAAACGCAAGCGAACCGCATTCGAGGTCCGCTCCCCAAGCGCAGAGTTACTTCTACCCAGAATTTCCCAGGTGGAGTTCCTCTCCGGCTCCCCACGGAAAAGAAGATGGGCAGAAGCGAGGACTCTTCCGGCTCCTCCAACAAAGGCCCAGTGGTGGGGGTCACAAGGGAACCCCACAACCCCGTAAAAGGGATGGGAAGAGCGAGGTCCCCGGGCTGGGCTGCCATTCAGACAGCGCGACTTGGAAAGCGAAGCAAGGGAGACAATATGAAGAAAGATTGCGTGATGCAGAAAGATTCCGTGGAAGGTGGCCCTCTCCAGTGAAGCAGAAATTTCATCCCGAGCATTCCTGGGAATAAATGGAAAGCCTGCCAAGAGCTGGCGGACAATAGACTTGGGCTATTGGCCTGGATTTCAGTGGACCAAAACACACTGCTTTGGCGCAGAAGGTCACGTTGTGTCTTTCTGTGCAGGTGCGGAGAAAGTCTGTGTTTTGAACAGCCGCAGGCGTGGGATCATTTTGTGGGGCAACCAAGACACCGAGAACACCCCATATTCGAGTCTGTCTGTGTTCTTAAATGTTGACAGAGAAGGAGAGAAAAAACCCAGGCAGATAAAATATGTAAAATACTTGGACGTTTGTATACACATGGAGAGAAAGGCAGCGGGAAAAGTGCGAATGTTCACACACATCAGCGGTTAGATAATTGGAATTTAACGGACTTTCTGAGTTATATTCTAGGCCTAATTGAATTAAACCAATTGACTCTCCATTAGAAATACTCTAGCAGTGACCCAGGCTATAAATTTGGGGCACACAGCTTGCAGCAAGTTCCTGTTCTGTTTCCGCCTGGAGTCTGTCCGTCCATCCTTCCTCCCTAATTCGGTGAAAACCGCTTTTCAGAAAAGCCAAGGAATTGTTCAGGAAGGAAATAAAAAGCGGAAATGGAAGGCTCTGTTGTGGCGAAATACATTTTGAGATTACTCACGGCAGACGAACCCAGGAAAGGAAAGCTATCGAAATTAGAGCATGGATCTACAGCCGGTGGATCGGTACAATACACGTGTTTGCAAACACGTGCTTGCCATACCCTCACGTTACTTTTAGGGCGCGTTATTTTAGGTGTGCATCTAGCTACCGAGCCTTTGAACCAAAGGATGCTCCTTCCTCGACTCGGATGTGCTCGCTTTCCTGCGTTTTACTGGGGGACGACAAGTTCCCTTCCCAGGGTTACACGCAGGCTCCAAACACCGCTCCGTTCAGCACCCCGATCCGAATTGAAGGGTGCACTTTCTACACGCCATTTTGAGCTCTGAATTTAGCCAGACTTGCGCCTGTAGTCAGGGCCAGGCGCGAGACACGGGTTTACTCGCCAGCCACCGCGGTTAAAGGCCCCCAAACCAAAGAGAAAGGCCAAAGGCGCCTCCGCGCCTCTTCCCAGCTCAACGTCCTCCTCGGGGAACCAGACTGAGTCCCCACGGACCCCCAGAGGCAAAGCTCGGCCCGAAAGGAACCCAAATCCTACCGACTGCTTCCGGCAATCCCAACCACTGTCCAGCAAGGACGCGCTTTGCAGCAGGACTGGCGACCGAGGGGGCGGGTTGCGGGGCGGGCCCAGAGGAAAAGTGCGGGGCACCCTTTCCTCCTCAGGGTTTCTTCCAAGACAGTCGCAGGACGCCCCCTCCCTCCGAGGACACCCTCCCGGGTCAGTGCGTCGAGGGCGGCAGTCTTCACGCTTCGCCGCGACCCCTAAGCCAGTTGCCCCGCCCTGGAAGCGGCTGGCCGGCGCACGTTTACGCGAATGGCCCGTGTCTCGCGGGGCTGAATCGCAGAACGTGCGGGCCGGAGGGGCGCTACCCCGCGTCTCCCCTGCGCCCCGGCGCTTGGGACAAAGGCGTCCCCAGAAGGCCGCTGGGCGAGGACTGCGCCCCCCCCCTCTCTCGCAAGTGAGCGGGGGGCGCCTCCTCCGGCCCGCGGGGCCCCACGCCGTGGGAAGGAGGCCCGCCAGCTCCAGCTGCCCTGGAAGGGCCGCCCTGGCTGGGAATGGCGGCATCTCTCTGCGGGGAAGCGCCCCCGAATCGGCCCCTTGGCCGCCCCTGCGCGCCCTCCACAGACCCCGCGGCGCCCCCCGAGGCCGCGCGGGGCGAGCCGGCTGCAGCACTGGCTGGGAGCTCCCGCGGCGCCTCCTGTCCCGGCCTGGCGGACCCCCGAGCCGAGCTGCAAGGGAGGCGCACGGCCAGCCGGGGGCGCGCAAAGAGCCGGGCGGCGGGCGGCGGCGGCGGCGGCTCGGCGGGGCAGAAACGCGGGGGCCGAGCGCTGAGGGGCAGTGGCGCGGGAGCAAGCCCACACGCGAGCCGAGAGGCCGGCCACACGTGCGCGCGAACGCCGTTTCCCTGCGCCGGCGGGAACGTGGCCAGCTGCCCCGCACGTGCAGCGTCCGGACGGCACCTGGGTCTCCTCTGGAGGTGCCGCAGGAGCCGCGGCTGCTGGACGGGGGCCCCGCCATCACACCCTGGGCCTGATCTGCCGGCACCGGATTTGCCTGGGCATCTTTGTAAGGCGCTTAGGAAGCCTGGCGGGCGGGTGTGGGGAGAAATCCCTTCCTCGCATCCTCGCCGACAGCACACGCGGTGAGCACGATCCGGAGGGGCCGAGGGCTTTTCGGTCCCACTGATTTCCGCAGGGGAATGAAGCTTCTATCTCTCCCTTGAAATGAATGGGAAATAAAATGACCATTTGGGCCGGACCAAGGACTTATTGGTAGATATAGATTCTGTTTCTCACTCGTAGATTCAATGCACACATTCGCCAATTCACGCATCCATCCCGTGAGCGCAGCCCAGCGGGGTCCAAGGCAGATTTAACCCTTCGCGCCGGCTTTTCTTCGCATTGCTGAAGAGCGCCGATCCCGCTTGCTCGGCCGCACGGGTAAGCCTCAGTTTAAAAGCTGAACGCCCTGTTCATCCCCAGGCAGAAATTGCTGTATACCCCTGCAGTGCAAGCCCAATTAATTGCATATTTTCCGGCTCCTGGAAAAACTAAGCGCCTACTTATTTTAGAAACAACCATTTCCTGCGCCCCACGCACCCGTACTAAATGAGGCCATTCCTGAGCGTTCATCCGGCACCAACCCGACCAGGCTGCGCGGCATAAAGATGCCTTCCTGCGAAGGCTCGCCCGGGGAATTCAGAGCGGCTGCTTTACGGAGAAGTTAGTCCCACTTAAGCCAGTGGAGCTTACCTCTGAGTAAGCGCGGCTTAAGATCTGCCAACAGGCACATCCACGGAAAGAAAGACAAGGGCAGGTAAGAGCAGGCGCATCCGGCCAGCCTGTGCTGTTCTACACGCGCGGTGGCGCAGAGAAGTTGCGTGTGCGTGCGCGCGCGCGTGCGTGAGACACACGTTACATACAAGTTATTAGTCCCTTCTCCAGGCGCCCCTTCCAACACTTCCTCAGCTGACTCGCGCGTGTGCTAAGACAACGGGCGCCCGCCTCTCCTGGACACGCTTCGAAGGACACGCGGTGCATCTAAGAATAGGAAGCGGATAATCCACGCGCTCAGGGCGGACACACGTCTCCGCCGTTCTGCGCCGAGGATGAAAAGTCACAAGGCAGTCAAAAGTCAGCCCCGGGGCTCGGCTTCCTGCTGCCTGCCTGTCCCCAGAGCCGAAACTAAAGGAACCCTCGGGGCGGGAGCCATGGGGGGGGGGTCCCCTAAAGCTAGCAGCCTAGTCAGCGATCGGCATACAAAAAGGAACGCAAAACCGACGGCGAAGGAGGCGCCTGGGGATGGAGACGCAGCGCTGGGGGAGGACAGAACCAAGAGTCACGGAACCGCGGCCAGACCCCAACTCTCGGAGTCGCCTGCCATGCCCTGCGGCAGCCCCTGTGAGGAGGAAAGGAGGCCGAGCAGCCGCGGGGCATCCTGGCAAACTTCAGGCAGGCCACCAGCGGGGTCCCCTCTCCCACGTGCCCCCTTCCCCAATATCGGCTGCGCTCCGAGGCCCATTCGGCTGGAAGAAAACCCCACGAGCGAGATTTTCCTCCCGGCAGAAACGCCTCCGTCCCCGAATGGTCTCTTTTTAACGCTAGAAAGGATGCTGATCCACGGGGAGAGGGGCCGACCCGCGCCTCCCTCTGCAGGGGGAAAAACCTGCCCACCTGTCTCCCGTCTCGAAAGAATGACCACAAGGCTACGGAAACACGCACGCACACGCATCTGCCCCGCACACGCACGTTGTGCACAGCGCCGTTATTCTCGCAACCTTCCCTGCGCCATCCAAGCCACCCCGCTGCCCCTCGCTTTATCATCAAATCAATGGGGACGAGAGAGAGGGAGAGGGAGAGAGAGAATTCCTTACGTTGCATTGGCACACCGAGAATTTCTGGAAGCCCCTTGACAGAACCTTCCGCTGTGAGAGTTGAGCTTTGCATCGTTTTATTTCAGTGCGCAGAGCGGGCGCGGGCGGCGGGGCCGGCGGGTCCCGGGGGACGGGGGAGCGCGCCCGGTGTCGCCCGGGGAGCGGAGGCGAGCTCGACCCCGGCCAGGGCGCCGCTCGCAGTGCCCTCGGCGTCCCCCGCTCTGCGGCCGCGCGCCGGCGGGTTCAAGGCGATGCGCAGCGAGCCCCTCTCGCCCGACTGCCGCGCCGGGGAGGCAGCTTTGATTCATTCACACTGCAGGGAGAGGGCGTGACGTCACTTTCCGCAGCGAGGCCACGCCCCCCGGCCAATCCCCGCGCCCGCTCCCCCCCCGCCCGGGCGGGGGGCGCCCGCGGGCCCCGCCTGGCGCGCCCCGGGACGTGGGGACGGGGCCCCCCGCCCGCAGGGCTGGTCGCCCCGCGCCTGCCCCCCGCGCGCCCGCTCCGTCTCGTGGGGACGCGGCTCCCCGCGCGCGCCCCCCCGCCCCACGCTCGCAGCCGCCCCCGGCGGGGCTCCAGCCGCCCGCCCGCACCCTCCGCGTGGACCCTCCCCGGGCGCGGGGCTCCCGGACAGACACGCGCCCTCCTCGGTGCGGTGAAAGAAAATGCTTGCCTACCCTGCAGGGGTGTCGTGAGGGAAGTCCAGCGTGGTGCAGCGGTCAAGAGCGCGGGACTGGGACTCAGGCGATCCAGGTTCTAGTCCCCGCTCGGCCATGGAGCCGACTGGGTGACTCTGGGCCAGTCACAGGCTCTCAGCCCAGCCTACCTCGCAGGGTTGTTGTGGGGATGAGATGGAGGAGAGATGATGTAAGCTGCCTTGCGCCCTTTGTGGGAAAAAGGCAGGATAAAATCGGGGGGGGGGGGGAGTCCGTGGGGAAGGAGGCTCAGGGCCGGGCCGGGCGCTCCCCGTCTGACACGTGCAGCAACCACCCCGACTCATTTTATAAACTGATTTAGTACATCGGCAGGGGCGCAACGGTTACTGTGGTTTCCGTTCAAACACGTGTATGCCTTCGCTTCCCACGGACCCCGATACACTCTTCTTGACTGCACTGGCCTGTTCTGCAATGTGCCACCATCTTGCATAAATTCGACCGGCTCCTTGTCAGCTAGCTGCGAGTCCACATTCAAAACGTTATTAATATGATTGTTTACCTTTATATCCAACCATTTCCTGCAAAGAGTTAAGGGCAGCATACATAGCCCCTCTCCTGCCCTCGATCCCATCTTCGCAACAACAACCCTGCGAGGTAGGAGAGGCTGAGAAGGAGCGCCTGGCCCAGAATGCCTCATCGAGCTTTTTGGCTGAATGGGGACTAGAACCCAGATCCCCCGCGCCCCCCCCAGCACTCCACCGCGCCCCCCCCCAGTCGTGTCCTGGGCTTTTGGAGGGGCACCGACTGAGAAGCGAGACCAGCGCCCCTTGCTCAGGTGCAGGCGGTTAACTCGCAGCTGGAGAGGGGCGTTCGCCCAGCGGAGACGCGCGGAGATGTCGCCTCATCGGAAGGCGCCCCCTGAGAAGCTGATTCCGCGCGCAAGTCATCCCAGCTGGACGTGCACGTGTGAGCGGAGATGTGTGCCGGGCGAGTAGCAGCCGGGCAAGTCTTTTGCGGGGAGAAGCGCTTGCCGGGCAAGCTCACGGCGGAGGCCTTTACTCAGAGGAGCAAGAGAGAAGTAAGCGGGAAAGTTAACCGCACGCCTCACCTCTGGTGTGGTGAGCAGGTAAGGAGCCACACGGGGAGGTTTATCCCCCCCCCCCCCCGGTAAGCACGGAAAGGAGGTTTCCTGGGAGCGGAGACAGGCCACCTCCTTCCGCCCCAAGTCCTCGGCCCCACTCCCCGCCGAGGGCCCCCTTGCAACCTGCTTGTAGCGCGGCTTTCACGCAGAGGCCAGTCCCCAGCAGCTGAACTGGGCTTACTTCCGTGCAGTGCGTAAAACACCCCAGCCTTGGGCTGTGCGCCTGGTGTCACAGGGAGTAAACCCCTCCGCCCTCCATTGGGCTTACTTCCGAGTAGGCATCCCCAGGCGTGCACTAAGTATTCCCTTGCCTAAGCGCGTTCCTTCAGGCACGAGTCTTTCGACACACTTCTACTTACATGGGTAAGTATTGCATTCCTACTTTTCATTCTGTGACTGGGATTAAAACAGGGCTGATGGATGAATGGCACACAGGTGAGGTTCTCAGGTAAGGGCGCAGGTTTTGGGGTGAGGTAAGGGCATGTCTGAGCCCTTAAGCTTTTCTTCCTGAAACTAAAATTCAGAATGAAGAAACGGGAAATGACGGTTCTGCCAAGGGGTTCTGGGGGTGAACTCTACCCTGTGATTCTTGCATTGGTGATGTCCGGCTTGCCCTTCTAGCATTCTTTACTTGGTAACATTAATATTTTTAACATTAATTTCTCCTCTGTTTGAAATGCTAGGCTGAATTAGGTAATGATTTTCCTGGCAGCTGGTAGGCGGTAAAACCTTCAATTTTCGATAATAGAAAGGGGTGTTTGTTGTTGGTCATATACTTTTGTGGTGCTAAAATGGTAACATCAGTTATTACAAATTGCTTTGTTCTTTTCACCCTTTAGATAAGTCGAGTGATATGATGGAGAAAGATAGCTAGAATCCTCCAGGCCAGTTAAGAGTTAAACTCTCAAGCCATCTGCAGAGTCCTAGGAGAAATATATAAAATCATTTACCAAAAGAACAGAGAATCTGGCTAGCAAACCTTATCTGTGATGATGAAAAAGCAAAGCCAAACAGCCACAGGGACTTCTGTAAATATACAAATGTGGTTCAAAACAATTAAAAATCTGAAAATTATTTTTTTTTCTCTGGATGAGAAAAAGTTATCATTGTCCCATTTTCCCCTGCAAGTGAGCAGGAGAGACAATATCTCAAAAGTGCAGAAAAATAATCATTCAATGTACTCCTTCAGCTCCATCTTCTCCCTCTTACCCCGAATATCGGTGCCGTCCCTTTTTCTTTTATATTTCCCCCCAAGAAAATATCCAATAATTTGCATTTGGGGCAGAGTTGGTGGTGGAACGTGTTTTCTTAATGTCTTGAAAAATATTGAAAGAAGGTAATTCAAAGAGCTACCTTTAGATTTATTAAGATGGCAGATTTTATAAAAAATACTACACTTTTCAAAAGAGGAATCACAGAAAAATAAGTCATCCTGAGAACAAACAGTTTGCAATGCCTGAGCGGGACAAGAGTAAAAATAACCCCCATGCCTGCTTCCGTGAGATGAAAGCAGTACAGCCCAAGTACAGCGCCAGCAGATAAGGCCCGTCCCATTGATTTCAATGCGTCGTGTCCCATTGATTTCAATGAGTCACGTGCACTGGTTAATTCTAAACTGTGTATGGCATTTACACCATAATAAAGAAAGTTAGTAAAAGCCTCTGAGATCCCAAAGTCACAGGAGTGACGACCTAGCGCAGCTCTGGATTCTCCACTGTTTCTTCCTTCTAATCAGCCTCCGCAAAGAGCGGAACTTTTATGTATGTGTCTATTCAGTTTAAAACTTCCAACCAATGTTTGCAAGGCAATGTACCGATACATGAAATACAAAACATATGATAATGAAACAATGGATTGGTCATGCATATAACAGAGGAAATAGCATCAAAAGATCTTGGGTTAAGCATCGCTTTCTTGTCCCATTGATTTCCATGGTTTTACTCTAAGGATGAGTCGGTCTGGATCCAACTCAGTGGTGATAAAACAGCGCACTATAGAAAAAGAGAGTTATGTGTACTGGACAGGAATGATTTTCCCCCCCGTTTTTTCCAGAGGAATGACTTGCCTCTGAGGAGGCTGCCTGTCATATCCATGCATGAGTCGCTGTTCTGGGCTGGCTTCCTTCCAATTAGATCCATCGCACATGCAGAAAGGAAAGGCATGGCCTCCTCAGAGGATGGGTGCTTTCCGCGCTCACATACGCTAAAAGTCACGAACATTTTTGTCATGGGGCAAGTGCGCATCCCATTTTAATTCAGAAACCCATTGTCCAGTCTCTCCCATTTCAACCACTAAGACGTAGCATACCCAAGTCTGGTTAGACTGTGCTCAGTGACTTTGCATATTGCATGAATGTTTCACTGCAAGAAGGCAGATCACTCACGTGGGGAGACTTCACTGGCAGACAAGATGTTAACGTGCACCTCAGAAATGCCGCAACCTCTTCACACCAGAGGTTTCAGCACTGCCTGCCCGTGGACAGCGCCCAGAGAAAGCAGCCTCTCCTCTTCCAGAGACGGAAGAGGGGAGAACTTCCAGTACAGTATTTATTTCTTCAAGATGTCTCTTTGGAAGACGCATGCACTGATAAACACACAACACAATTTTCCCAGAGGTCTGTAAAGAAACTGTGCAGCAGGTGCGTGAAGGTTCAACTCAGCCCAGCATGACCAGCTCACTTCTTAGATTTAGTTGTGGGGAACTGCTCCAAACACAAACAGGCCCAAACATCCTCCTTCTACTGAATAAATAATAAAACAGGTGCACCCAGAACTGAATTTGTCCTGAGAACCTTAAAAAGAAAGAACATTAAAGTTCTACATGGCGTTATTGCTGTTTATCATTTCTGCTGTTGTTTCTAGCATGTTGTGTCTTATCTGGGTAGTTTATTGTTGTATATGGGGTTTTAATGTTTGCAAGCTGCCCAGAGGGCCCTCTGGGTTATTGGAACAGTATATAAATGCAATAAATGAATAATAAACATAGGGGGGGTCCAGGTAAGCAAAACTTCAGGAATATAGGCAATATGTGTTATTTGGTTTGAGGTCCACCAACATCTTCTAGCTCCACAAGGCATCACTTCTTCCTGTAATTATAACTGCATGCAACATGCCAGCCTAACCTAATTGCCTAGTGATCTTCTAATTATCCAGTTGCTCCAGGCTGTTGGGTGAGACACTTGCAGTCACCAAATTTGCAATCATTCAGAAGAACATGAAAGTTATAAGCCTGCTTGTTTGATTTCTATCTCTGGGTAGATAGATCATGGCCATAGAATAG